TTGCTTATCATTAATTGAAGTTGTTCACTATTGCTATCACAAGAAAGTACACAACTATCTTGGAAAATAAACCATTCTTTTGGTTTAGAATCAACAAAATAAATAAAAACACTGCATATCCAAGTGGCAATTTTGCATCAGTATCATCTCGCTCCTCAGTTTACGAACGGAAATAAACATCAATTTGCCAATAACACCATCGACCCGCGAATCTAGTTAATACACCGATTAGCAAGTGTACACAAGCCTGAGGCAGAATATCCTCGACTCACCGTGAAATCATCGCGGTTTATCCAAAGATATCATGGTATTCAACATCTCGATACTGCTTTTGACTTCGATTTTCGCCTCAGGACTAACTTCCATGACTTTTCTGCTGCCTGGAGATTGCAATTAATGTCGTATAGCACTAGAGAAGCCGAGGTGAAATCGAATATTCCGTGGTTAGTCCCCACGTAAAATGGACGGTCGTCTCCGCAACAGAGCGTAAGGAGCCAAGCTCCGGTCTGCTCACCAAGGCGACGCTCAGTCGTTGTGGTCAACGCCACAGCTTGTCCAACTCTCCAATCCTTTAGTGATTAAGGAAAGGTCACAAGGTCTCTCTTACACTATAACCGCCTTCAAACACGTGCAAATATCCACCGTCCATCTATCCTTCACCGTGAAATTGGTTCCGGCGCGTGCCTTGATTGAACTTTGCCCGATTCACTCAACCGTTTCATAATCGACGACCTAAGCTCTATTTACTCTCTATTATATTCTAATTTAACTTTGAAAATTATTGAAAAGACTCGTTTGTAGATTTTTGAGTTACCTACCTGAAGTTTATCAAAATCAAAATCCTCAATTTGTTCAAATAGAATTTAATTGGCGATGATCTTGGTCTAATTATAATATATTTACTTTCTTCATATTAAATTCTGAATATAGAGGTATCGAGGAAATTGGATAGTTAAATATGCATAAAATTATAAATTTTGATTCAAAAAATGATTGAATTTACACTGCAAAATCAATGGATACTACCTGACTTTGCAGTCCATTCCATTATTTTTACTATTTTATTTTTAAATAACATGTTTGTTTCATTCAAGATGCTTTTAAATCCTTAAATATCTGTTAAACAGAAAAATTTTGGGGTAGTCCTGAATTTTACAAAGCGTTCTCTAAAAATAAAACAGGAAGAATTATGGAAATGACTACAAAACCAATGCATATGCACTGATTATAACGTGATAATGAAGCAACTATCTAAAACAGTGGCATTAAGCTCACTGATTTAGTCTGATTTTTACTGCTGCATATATGCATAGCATCAACACGTAAATCAGGCATTCTAAGTCTGATTCTTCATATTTTGTTGCTCAGATTAAAAAAAAAATTCAAATCATAGAGAGTAAAAAATATTTTTTTAGTTTTGATGAAACAAAACAAAAACTCACGAAAATTATTTCAAAATAAAGGGAATTATTCTGATCCGAATAAATTTTCAATTCTATCAGAGGCTTCAACCAGGAAGTTGATTCTTCATTTTTTTTTTCCACTCATATCTCAATCATGTTCCGGTTATTTGTTCCAACAGTTCAATTTTAAGACCATTTTCTAAGTTCTTAAGTCATTCTTGCATAGAAAAAGTTTTGGGCAACACAGGGAGGGAGAAGCAGGAAGTTAGGTACTGATGATAGTACTGAAGGAAAATGGGTATCAAGAATAAAATCAGTTGGTGGACGAGACTTCCGTCCGATCCGTCTGCTGGTCCGTCGAATAATAAGGATCGATATTTTAATTAGGGAGTAGTTTTAGGCTGGGTTACGTTATACGATATAGAGAAACTGAAAGAGACGAGGGATTGTGTCGAATTGTACGCTAGGGGTGCTGATTCATCCATGTACCGGAAGTCAGTTTGTAAAGCTTTTCAAACTTCTCTGGCTTACAGGAAATTCCATTCAACCACGTATCATACATTTTTGGACATTTTTATTAAAAAAAAAAAAACTTTGCCGAATAATATGACTAAAAAAAGAAGAAAATATTAGAATAATCATTGGAGTAAATTTTTTTTTCTTATTTTCAGAGACAAAAAAATTCTACGGAAGCTGAAATTTTTATCGTAGCCATATAGAGTATTTTTATAGAAATTATTATGGAGCCGAAAATATTTTTTGCTTTTAGATAAGAATTAGTTGAAATTCGTTGTTTTAAAAATATTTTTATTACAACATAAGAGTTTCTAGATATTTCTTAGTGTGGGATTTATATTTATTTGATATTTATTAATTCAAATAATTGTAAGCACATATGTTAATAAAAGAAAAATGACCTTTCCCTATTATCTAAAATTTATCTTTATAACTGGACCACAGTAGCTCGTGGTTTGGGGTGTAGTAAAAAAACGCTTTAGGGGGTGGTCTTAGAGAAGAGAAGAGAACCCTGAAGGTGGTTACGGTGAAACGAGGTCGAGTAATTATGGGGATTAATCTTAAGTCCCGTAAAGTCCACCACTTGTAGATTCTCCAGTTTCCTTCATCCTTTAATAGTTCCTCTCTTTACAAAGACAAAATCTCTTCTTTCTAGATAGATACTCATCTTTATTTCTCACAATTTTAGATTTGTGATCTAGTCAAGATCTTTTCACCAAAGACTTTTTTCACCCTTCGGACAAACATACGTATGTAGAATGTGAAGCTACAGGTGTCAGCAAAAGCAGTATTTTTCAGAGGGGAGAAACGAGTGAGAAGGGGTGGCAGGTCGAGTGCCGGCACGCACGTTGAATCTGCTAAACGTTCTCACTCGTGCGTGAAATGCCTCGATATCACTGTTTTATTTCGGCTCGTTCACTCCACTCTACTGCAAAATTACATTCAGTACCACCCTCTATAACACACGTATTCATAAGCATCTTTATCAGTCGTCAAATGACGTATATATTGAAACAGATGAAATCTATTATCGGTAAAAAATAAAGTAAATAAAGATCTATGTAATGAACTGAATAAAATTTTATGTGTATTTCATTGCTTTGATTTTATTTTAATTTTTTTTTAAATAATATAATAAGACATATTTAAAAAGAAAAGCAATAAATAATTTAAAATTATTCTACGCATTTATATAATAAAAATAATAAAGTGAGAAAATGAAGTATTTCCCTGACTTTAGATGGTCTATAAACATTTAGTGGTTTTTTACTTCATTAAACGTCATAAATTCTATCATCTAATCTCTAAGCTTGTTGTAAAAGATGAAAAATAATTTATAACAATTCCAATTTTTAAATATTTTTCATTTTTTTATAAAAGAATAATTTAATCAATAATAAGTTAATTTTAATTCATTATAATCGGTAAAATTAGGTGAGATTGCATTTTCAGATGCTTTATTGGATAAATAAATTGTATTTGAAAAAGTAATCTACCAAAGACCAATTAAAAATGTATTTAAATAATCTCTATTAAGATAGTAGCAATACTTTAATGATACTAAAAAGTCATCTTAATGATGTTTTAAATGATTTAGAATTAAAAAATTATATCACATCAAGAAGATTCCCTATTAAAATATACACTTACTCATAATCAATAGCAATATAATTTGTTTATTTATTTTATTTTTAACCATTCAACAATAGGGTCTCAATAATTTTGTTACCATACCGTGTGGATTACAAAAAAATAAATATAATAATAATAATGTTGAGAATAAAAAATTTATTTTCTCTAGTTTGTCATTTTTCGATAAACAAAATTAAACTAAAACAGTATTAATTTTTCTGTAAATTACTTTTAAATAACCCATCAAAAAATTCGATTAATAATATGTTTTTCAAGTTGTTGAGCTATAACTGTTGTAATTTAATCTGAAATATCGGGGAAAATGGAAAAAAACGAAAGAATCAATAAATCCCAGCTGAGTCTGGGCAATTTAATTAATAATTATTGGACCATGCATCCAAGCACAATGGCGATACTTTCTCGGGTAATCCGTCGAAGATTAACGAGCCTCTAAGTGGAACAAGGATAAGAAGAGAGAGAAGATAAGAGCTTTTGCAGCCACGAGACGCCATGACAGGCTCCGCCTTGTGGTCTTCGTGGTGAACAAACCCCTTGCGCGCCCGCATTAACGCAATTATGAATTTGTCGCGCTAGAGCTATGACAATACAAGATGTTACTAGTTCTACGTCCTCTTCGGCTTCCACCTTCGCCATTTACCCTTATATATTCTCCAAGATAGAGAATCGTTTTGTGGAAAGCCACAGGCGACTGCTGCAACACCCCTGTGACCTTCCTACACCCATAGCGGGAAAATCAATCGACCTAACGACGTCGACAGGTCACTTGCCATCTATTCGTTCTCATACTAGCTTACCCTCTAGCCTTACTGCTACTTCATGACTCGGAATCTTCACGTACACTCTTGCGTATGTGTCTGTGCCTAACTTACTTGCACTACTGCTATAAGGTTTGAAAGTCCCCGATGAAAGGATTCCGAGGCTATATAAGCGTACTGAGACCCCTAAAGTGAGTGCCTAGTCAGCCCTTAATATCCTAAGAGGTGGACCGAAGCAAACAACCCCCTCGACCCAACATACCCCATGGTAAGCACTAGAAAGCTCGGCTAGAACATCCCTTCCTATTATCGTTAACTAATAAGGGACCTAATTGAAATGTCGGACTTTTGTTCAAAGCTTTCGTTTATTTTATGGATATGCATATTTGTTACCATCAAATAATTAAGACAAAGAAAATTACTTTGCAGCTAGAAGCTAAATTTACTCGTTTCAATCTAAATTTGGAAATATCTTTTGAATGGTATTATTTTTTAAAGTGTCTTCTTTAGGATTTAAGCTGATTTCAACATGTGTGCTTTGTTTTCTACAGTTTTTTGATCAATTTAATATACAAAATATTTATTACAGCTGTGTTGGGAAATCCTATTGTCGTTATGAGATCTTTTGAAAGAGAAAAAGCTGAAAATGAACTTAAAAAAAGTAATAACTTACCTTGCTGGGTGCCGGGGCAGTTCGATCGTGTCAAAGATATTCCTTGAAACTCGTAATGAAGTAGATTCTGTCGATTTTTGCTCAGGTACAACTGTAACGAAAGAAAAATCGGTATGATTTACTGAAAAATTTGAAAATACTTAAAAAAATAGGTCTTGATAGTGGATAACCATTAGATTTATAAGATGCTAGTATAAAATATCTACAGAAATTTATGAAAGGAGTTTAACCGACTCTCAGTCATTTCTCATCAGGACCACCCTATTTTCTTCCTAGTATTTTCCTCGCTTTTGCTCGCATGTCAGCCCTTTATTTTATACTGGAGTTAGACTAAGGGTATTAAAGGGGATGCTTTATCCTTTCTTCTCACCCTTTATCCTTCTTGTGCGTGATCGGCATGTTGGGATTCCTTCGAATCGGACGAGACGGGACTTGCTTATCGGGTTCAGCTTAAGACTCGAAATCAAAAGGCGGAATTTCTAAAGGATGCGTTCAGTTTTAGTCATCTATTAACCTTTTGTTTTATAGGAATGGAATCTTCAAAACTGATGGCTTTGGATATTTTATTAGAAATTAAAGTTCAATTTCAAAATGAACTTCATCTAGATTAATCCATAAAATTGAGAAATATGAATAGATAAAAGAAAAAAAAATTCCGAGACCAAGGATCAGTCTTTCTAGATTACTAGGAAAGAAAAGGCTTGAATATTTTTATGTGCTATTAGTCTCAGTTTTTTTGCATCATAGAAGGAAAAATAGTAATTAGATTTATTAATGACAAAAATCCTCTCACGGACAGATTATTTACGATATTTAATATATTATAATCATGATTAATTAATTAAAGCATGAATGTTTTAATTGCAAATGATTTTTATGACTACCAATAATTTCAAAATATATTTTTGATTCTAAAATAATAATGAAGAATTTACGACCAATTTTTTTTATCGAGTGATTTTTTCTACTTTTTATTTCAAAACTGAAATCTATAAAGTACCTTAAAAAGTCAAAAAAAGATGTAGAAGTATATCTAGTCGTAAATACGTCGACGATCTCGCACAAATCGCCTAACGCTTCTCGATATCTTTTGCTGAGATACGACTCTAGATATTCCGAGAGGTGCGAGGAGATATGTACGAAATGCTTTCAGATGGAAAGATAGAAGAAGAACGAAAATAGAAAAGCCAGAGAATTCTGGATAGCAAAGTATGGCCACCCCCTGAGGGTGATCGCGAGGTCGTGCAAACCATCCGGCTGAGGCAGTCCAATTTCTCAAACCCGTCCAATCTGTGTCGTATGCAAAATCAATCACGCTGTCTCTTCTCACACCCCCCCCTCTCTCACTCTCTCTCTACCAATCGAAAATTTTCAAATCCGACCACCGTAGCTCTCAGTAATCCGACTCGAGCGAAAAGTTTGTTCTTCAGATCCTTTTCTTCCATTTATTCGATATCCTCATCCCTTAAAATTTTACAAAGTTTTCTCAGTTACCAATACCGCGGAATGGTTGACATAAGAATTAGAAATTATTATAAATTTTATTTTCAAGTGATGGAAACGGAAATCATTGTGATAAAAGAGGTAACTTATTCTACTATATACAATCAAATTCATCTTTTGTGGCTTCAGAATCAATTGATGCTAATATTTTTTGCCCTTTTCTATCATACATTTTATTCTATATACTTCTTTTAGATATAATTCACGAAAAAAAATTCTCATAATCATTAAATTATAAACCATAAATATTTATAATAAAGAACTCAATAACTCCATTTTATCAATTAATTTTTACTAAGAATCTTGAAGAAAAATTATCTATGAGAGAGAATAAATTAACATAGTATATAACAATTTGATCATGCAGTAATCGAGAAAAATTTGATTGGGCTGTGATGGCACTCACGAAAAGTAGAAGTGGATTTAAAGCACTTTTTTTAAATTCAAATAATGGAATAAATCAAATCATAGATTGATTTCAGAAGGATATATATAGCCGTCTTGAGATTTGTGGATCAATTTTTCGAATGTCTAATAATGATTTAAACATTAATTAATCATGAAATCAGTTATTTTTTGAAATTTATTCTTCTACAGAGAGACAGAGAACAAGATAATTGGCTAAAAATTTCACAAAACGAATGAAATATCAATAAAATCATTTAATTCTATTTTTAAGATTAAAGAGATTTTAGTTTCATACGTAAATATGTATTACCTTTACTCAATAAATAGCTCATCTAGCGGAGGAATTTTTTCTTCCTCAAACGAAAAGTTTGTGTCCATTCCAAAAGTATTTTGTGATTAAAATAAACAATTAAAAATGTAATTTACTAGAAAAGACACATATGTAAAATACATAAATATTCATTCATGCTAAGAAAATTTTTTGGATGAGCATAGGAATAGACATTGTTGGAGTAGCCCTTATTTGAAGCCCCAACGTCCATCAGACTTGCTGATTTTTCCCAGGACCTTGTCCACAGTCCGTTGTGTTCCAAAAGGCGACAGGGAGTGCGACAAAACGTCGGGGATATCGAAGACGACGAAAGCAAGTTGACTCTTTGCTCCATAGAAATCAGGGTAGGAGGTGTAGTCACTCGACGAGAGGGTGCAAAGTTTAGCATACACATTTTACACATTGAAATCCTGACACGCTCGCCGAACTTTAAATTGAAACCCGTCTATGGCCAGCGTCCCCTTTCATGCAGCATAAGAGATCGCGAGAAAATCAAAGAGACGCCAGGGGATAGCTTTTTGTTCATAGAAATAAAGAGACTTTTTTGACATTTTTTGTCTCAGATTTTAACATACATATTATTACTACACCCATAACTATACTAACTCAAATGTCAAACTACATTTCCTATATCACTTTCGACAGCTATTTTTTCTTCTCCATCGACAAAGTGGCAAGAAAGAATCCCCACGAATTTTGTGTGTTGCTCATATATCACCAGCACCGTCCAAGCGCTCGTTTCGTACAAGTTACGAGGTCTTTCCCCGCATGACATCCACTTGTGTTGCAAACATGAGGGCTCCATAAAACAGTTATGGCTTGTTTATGCACTACAGAAGCGGAAGCTGTTACATCGTTAGGTGTCCTAAGTGCCTCGTGATCACAATGCCAACACGTTTACACGTTATTATATAACGTGCTTGATGAAAGCTTCATTTCTATTTTTACTCAATCAAAAATTTGTCAACCACATATTAGTTCAAAAAAGGCTTTCTCAATATCTATGAATTTTTACAATTATAACTCATAATTGATGTCACTAAAATAATCTATTAACTTCTGACAACCTCTAGATCAATTTTTCAATCATTTATAAGTTTAAAGTATCTTCTTGGATCAATAATAGTTATTCATAACTAATAATTGAAGGCTCTATCAATTATTAAGTAGATTTGAAATTATATAGTCTAGTCTGAAAAGTCATTTTAATCATATTTATATCTTTGGCGGCACGATTTATATTTAATAATATAAGCTTATTAAATATTATTTAATATTGAAAAGCTAAAGCCATTTTTGAAGAGAACTGCTGGAAAGGTACTTAGACTTAGTGTCCTGTTAATGTTAAATTAATACAGTTTATATTTTTATTCACATCATCAATTTGGACGAATGAATGTAGGAATTATAGCTAAAATAGAATCTTTATCATTTTACAACATTTGAGTAGATGCATTAGAAAAAACTTTTATGATTTTAGGATAATGAATGATTCAGGTTCAAAGAAATAGAATAGTGACGATATGCTCTATGTTTTCATCATCAACAAGAATCAACAAACACAGCTGTATTACTAGTTGGTAAAGTTTTTTAGTATTCATCCTGAAGCATTTATGACATACTCCTAAATGTTTATCACCAATCTTCGAAAACCAGTCATTAAATTAAACCCAGCTTCAACTATCATAACTATATCCTCATCAAAGAGTACATATGGCCAAGTGGAAGATATAAAATAAAAAAAGAAATCTTGGAGACAAAGCTCATCGACACCGGTATTTTCAATTAAATAATACTAATCCCGAAACGAAGCCGAAAACGACCCTTAGCGGAAATCTCATTCGCGCCCCCTATTCCATCTCCCCGTTGAATCGTCTCTCTTTTAGACTTCGAATCGTAATTAACATTTGGTTCTCCCATTAGTGTAATTAAAGTGCCATTCCATAATCTAGGAGAAGATGGAAGGGGTGATGGAGGGGATGTGAAAGAGCTGGTCCACCTTATCTTTCAGACTTCAGACCCCCGGGTCGTTTACCCTCTCGACCAACCCCCTCTGTTCATCCCTGATGCTTCTTACTCGACTCCGGATACGACTGTAGTTTCACAGCCCTACGATAACTCCTTCCCTTAAATGGGTATGAGGTAGGATGAAAAGCAGGAAAACTGAATTTTGGGGGAAGACTAAAGAAAATTGAGAAAAGCAACTTGATTCAAGCAAAGAAAGTGATTAAAACATTTGAGAATTTGATCGTGAATTTCATTCAAACGATTGGACTTAAAAGAAGAATGGAATGGGAGGATGAAATCTAGTTGGAGTCTAGTGCCTACGAAACTCGATCTAAAGGAACTACTTTCTGCAGTTCAGTCTCTGAGATATACCGACCAGCACGCCAAGGAAACGATAAAGATGGCAGCTACACGATATAGAGAACAGACCAGGACGGGGTTGGCGCTAAAATAAAGAAAAGCAGTAGAGATAAGCACTGGGTCCCGCTTGACATTTTCCGGTGGTTGAGTTAATAATGCGCGTAGTACACAAGAGGGTAGTTTGGAGGTGACTTCTGGGATCCGCAAAGTACCGTCATAAAGAGGCGCGGATGTGTTTATTCGGGAATTTGCTTTTTCTCGTTGTGCCTTCTTTAAACTTACTTTGTTTTTTCCTTTTACCAACACCCCTCATCCTCTTCAATTTCTTTTAAATATTCATTTATCTTATTTTCACACTGTCCCACTAGAGTTTCCAAATTATTCCGCATCAACTAAATTATTTTTAGCCTAATCATTATTTATACTTTTATTTAAGTAAGTGAGAGAATAAAGATAATCTCACTATTATTAATAATAAAATT